TATATAAATATTGCACATTATGGTATACAATGGTATACTGCACGTTTAATTGCAGCTTAACAGAAGAGCCACAGATAACTTCCTAACTAACTACTTTATGATAACTAAAATTAACTCCCAAATAAGGTGCCTGTCTAATTAAAGTGAATTTAAAAACAACTTAGTGACTCACCTGTTAACTAACTGAAGCTAACAGCTAACGTAACGTAACTGCTGCTGGTGCTAACAGCTAAAGGCTAACTAACGCGTTTAACGCTGATTCATGGCGATTAAAAGTCTCGTTAACATAAAAACAAATAAAACCACGCAGGTAAGTTGGATTAGTCGTCTGTCTCTCACCTGAAGCTGCACATCAACAATCCAACAGCGTGAGGAGAGGGTCGTGCAGCAGTTTGGTGAGGTCCGTAGTGTACTGCTCCGACCAACATTTGGTTCCGGATGTTACTAACTTAACTTTAACTATTATTTACTATTTATTTTATTTACTAACATGTTTCAGTTTTAACTCACAAAATACCCAAAGGGGCCCCTCTTGTTTGTTTGTGTGTTTTAATCCATTTGGACTGATGAACTGCAATGATTTTATATCTCTATGTTGTTGTCCATGTTTTGTATTTTGTTGTTTTTATGTTGATATAAAGCTGTGTCTGAAACTAAATTAAATTTTAGTATCAGCAAATACATATAAGAAGTCCTGGAGCACTTTTACTTTCATCTTTACCCTTTATCGTGTTTGTATAGTGTTTGTTTGAGGTACAAATAAAGTAACATGTCGTCAGATGTTTTTTTGGATTTCACTTTTATTACAAGTTTGCATCTTCACGTGAATTACAAAAAACTCTTTAACAAGTAATTTATAAAACTTACTACTACTGAAAAGTACAAACAAATATTTTGTAAAAAAATAACATTCTTCATAATAAATACATATTAGAGCTATTAGAGAACGGTTGAATCAATAGTCAGAACAGAAAAAACAAAACAAAAACACGACTATGCTGAAGCCAAGTACAAGTAGCATCCAACATTGTGTAACCGTTACAGTTTCAGTTTTTCCATCTTAGCCAGAAATCGCTTTTGGCTACAGTCGAGGATACCGATGCCATTCTTCTGGAAGTTATATTCCACTTCCTGCAGCTGCTCCAGCCGCCCTAAAATGTTCTGTGTGCTGTAGTCTAAAACCCTCGGCGTCTCCAGAATCTGCTCCACTTTGATTCCTACCTTTAGGAGACACTCCAGCTTCGGACTCAGCGTCGCCGGGCTAATGTACAGAACCACTGGATAGGTGTAGAACAGTTTTTGTATGTCAGCTTTCTGGCAGCCAAGTGAAACCATCTTCAGCTCGACACTGTTTAAATTATTTTGCAGATATTCAGTGGAAAGGACCAGAATTTTTGCAGCGGAGCCTTGAATAAAAGCCAACATCTCTGAGTTGCCCAACCCAAGATAAGCTCTTAGGATATCAATGTTCGTCCTAATTCTCTTAATGCTTTCGCTGAAGATGAAAACGTTTTTGTACAGGACGGTTTTAGTGAATTGCTCTGGGTTCGTGCCACCAAGTTCGACACAGATGTCTTTCAGAAAATTCACCTTCTGCCTGGTGAGATCTAAACTGCCGCAGAATATCCGCGGCGCTTTGACCAGCAGCCGCTGGAGGTCTTTCGTTTTGAAGCCCAGCGAGGTCAGAAAAGTAATGATATTCTCAAAGTTCTTATTATCACTGGACCGGAAGAAAGACTCAGGTGAACGCTCCAAGACACTCAACATTTCTGAATCTGTGTTTAAGATTTTTCTCCACAGCTCCCAGCGCTCTTCCAAGTGTTCAGTCGAGCGGGTGATGGCGCGGGGAAAACGGGATATGATGCTTGCAATCTCCTCGCTGCTGGCACCTTTGCTTTGCAGAAACTCAGCGAGACCTTGCTCATTGGTGAGGCTTTTACGACGAAACACCCCAGGCTGGCGCTGGCGTGCCATCTCCACATCAACTCCCATGAGATGCAGGTTCTCCAGTAAAGATTTATTGCAATTTTTCTGTTCCGGCCTTGCCTTATTACGTTTAGTAGTAGCACTGCAAAGCCTGGTGGGAAGGCAGGTTGATGTCAGCTGTACTGGAATGAGCCCGAAGCTGCGCTGAAACAACGCTGATCGATGGAGGCTGAGGAGAGCCCTCACTCCATGTACTGCTGCCATATTTAACCAGGAGGACCACAGTGTCCTTGTGATGTAGTGTCAGTGGACCTAAAAGAAGAAAAATAAAAACACGGTATAATCAGCTGAAATTCACTTATGGTAGTCCATTGACCTGTTGTGCATTAATAGCCACTTGTCAGTCTCCTGTTTTTCCTGAAAGTCATGAATATTACATTTGTCATTAAATTTACTTATTTACTTGCACGTGTATTTTATGTATTTAATCTAATCTGAATTTTGAAATATTCCATCCCTTTCCCTCCCTCTAAATATACCAATAAACATTAGAATGTGTTTGTTTTTAACTGTACAAGTTTAAAAAACATATAATCACACACACAAAAAATACTAAATAACAGCAAAACACACTCTTTAACCAAGATATTAACCATAAATAAGTCAACAACGCAGATAACAGCTCACACTAATCCTCTAATATTAGTGATTTAAAAAAACCAAAAACATATTAATGTAATTATATAAACATATGGGGTGATATATAGGCTAATGTTTTGACTACTAATGGCCAAACACCGTAGTTGTCTCTATGTTATGAATTTAAATTGGCCGACAACTACTTCCAGGGACAATCTGAAGAGCACATGAGTTGAACGTACTCTTATTCTTACTGGCTCTGGTGAAAACGTTACAGATTCAAACCACGTACAATGTGGTACAGCAGTGTATCAAAGGTCTGTCTTCTTTTAGAAAGTGAATAAAAACCTACCACATACGCTTGTTTTCTCTCGGTTGACCGGCTTCAGTGCCGGTGAGAGGAGGATTTCTACCAACACGGTCCAAGTAAGAGCGGAAGTGTTGAACTTGTGAATAAGATATCGCGAGATTTGGGGGATCTGTGTCCATTTTCAGCCACTAGATGGATGCAAAGGGCTTTTATTTAGGGCTTAGGAGTTTCTACCCATCATAGGATGCACTTATACAATAATAGGGTAATTATTAATTAGGGATTTAATACAAAAAACAAGAACAAACATTAATTAAATTAGGTCATTAGACTTAATTCCTCGTCTCCCATCCAGTTTTTCGATTAATCGTCACATTATGTTCTGTGTCTGTGTGTATTTTTTTAATTAGGATTATTTTTCAGTAATTTTATGAATGCAGTTAACTTAGTTATATTTTCTGTACACTTTAACGCCATAATTGAGGGTATAAACGGTTTAATAACCATTATTCTCCACAATGGATGTAGTTCTGGTGAAGATACACTCAATTCCTTAATTATATTTTAATTTACCTTATTATAGAATTTGAACAGTCCAGGTATGCTTGTATTATGATACCTGGCAAGCTTTTCGGTATAATCATGAACATGCCAGGTTGTATGTAAAGTATACTGAACTGTGTGTCACTAGGCATTAATACTTAATTAATCAATGTCAGACATACAGCTGACGTTTTTGTACACTCGTGAGGTAAAGAGAGCATTTACCATGTGGTGTGGCTCACAGCTTAGCACCGAAAAACCTACTGACCCATCGAGTCTCTTTACTGATGAGTCCCACCACTCATGAATATTTTAATACAGCACAGTGATATCTTCACTATGCAAATGAGCTTTCACCCAACTGCTCTTAGTCAAAACAGCTTTCTCCATGATAGAGTCTCAGTATTATTTTGTTTCTGTCATCAGCAGGACAGAGTTTATTTTCCATTACAGTTAATCTCTTCCCTGTTTTTGCATAATGACGTGATAGGGAGCAACTCTTGGGGTCTATGTTCTTGTCTGATTCAATCATTTAAAAGATAAATGAAAAGAGGAGAAAAGAAGAACAGAAGAAAGAGGGTTATGGTTAAATTTGCTCACACAGGAGAAAATTAATTTTATCCTATGAGACACTTAATACAGGTTACATCTTTTGCACTGTACAGTGGTTTATTTCTGCTTCCGTGGCTATATCTTACACTCAGTTGCCAGTTTATGATGAACACCTGAGCTTAAACTGTAGTGCAGTTTCACACAGTTAGTTAGTTAGTGTGTTTTTATCACCATATCATGTCAGACCTTTGACCCATGCATCTTCAGGTAACACAGACAAAAAACAAAAGACACACTTCTCTCTTATATTTACTCTCAGATAACAGATATGTGAACATTGTCGGATTTCCAGCTTTTGTTTAGACTGGATTAGCTTCAGACAAGTGTAACATATTAACTGGCAACTGAGTGGCTCTCCTTCCTCTCAGCCAGACTGTAAAACACACATATCTCAATGTCTTTGTAATCATAGTTAATACCCATAGTTTTCTCTTTATATCTTTCCGTTCACTTTCTCTGAACCTTTCCGAAATGTCAAGTGAATTTATGTTCCTTCATGCATTAATATGTCTGTGTTTTTATTATTTAACTGAAGTCTGTCCTGATCCATTTGTTGTGGTCTACTTGGTAAAGTTGCTTGGGTAACTGCTGACACAGTACTCCTTCGGTGAATCAATAATTTAGAAACTGGCGAAACTTTCAAATGCTCAGTGGTTCCTATAGACGCTGTAGCACAGCGGGAGTTTACAGGTGGGATCAAATTGGCAAGAATGTCCAAAAGAAGATGGGTGGAATTCAAAATCTGCCAGACTATAAGCTGTTCAGCTCCCGTCAGCCGAAGACACAGAGCATCCTCTCCTGCTGCTGCTGCTGCTGCCACCGGTATGTTTTAATTGTTTCTAAGAAGCAGGAGAAAAAAATTGGTAACTTACTTGAATCCAGGTTTTCTCTGAGAAAGTCTATAAAGTATGTATATTTTATATTAATCATAATGAGTTTATAATGTTTTAATGTTGTTTCTGTGAATCTTTGGAGGTTTTCAAAGACCAGAGGATGAGTTCTGTAAATACACATGCATTTGTCTGTTTTTAGGGAAGGGATTAAAAGGGTAATCTAATATGAGATACTTGTATCTCAAGTATCTTTCCACCAGAATGATATTCCTGGCAATAGGGAAATTCACAGATAACATTCTGAATATTTTCTAAACTTTCTTTGGTAGTAAAACATGTCTTACCTCTGCAGGGTGGGGTTACGCTGGGGGAATTTGGACTTAGTAGTTTGATTTATAAGCACAACGGTACAAGAATCACACAAAGGAGGCTGAAAATAGTAAAAAAAAAAAAAAATCAACTGCAACATTTCTAAAGTCCTGCTTTCAGAATGGCACCCACATCTCCAATTTGATCAGCAATTCATGTAGACAAATGAATTAATGAATTAATGACTTAATGAAGTGACCCAAAAAGACAATTCAGTCTGGCTCTCTGTGATCGGTTACCGCTGCTGTAGAACAGAGAGAGGGCAAGCATTCAGATTACAAGAAGTGATAATGACCTGTTCTAATATATATATATATATATATATATATAGTCTTTGTGGACTAAGGATCAATTCCACATGGAGTCTGAGATAAATATTGGGCTTCCTGTCCTCCATCTGTCCTAGAAACTGATGCCAGTCTCTCTCATGTTACCTGTTGTCCCATTCAGCCAAGGAAGCTCAGATGTTTCCTGTTCAAAGGAGTCTGTACCACTGTTTGAAATGTGCTCAAAATAGCCCGATCGAGTGCCATGCTGTAAAATGTGAAGTGATGGCTGAAGCCTTTATTAGGAAAAAAACATTGCTTTGAAATGAAAATATTTAGTGTTAAAAAAGAAACCTCTCAACTGGGACGGCTCTGGCAGCCTTTTCTCCCGTTACCATAGAAACTGAGCAGACGTTTTAAGCAGGATTCAGACTGCGTATAATGCAGGGAAAGTTATGACATTATGAAAATCAGGAGATGTTTTGGCTTTATTATCAGTGATTGCTGTGCATTAAGATGTTAGTGTATTGCCTCTACAAATTCAATGAAAAGACAAAGTAAATACAACAAAATAACAAAGACATGTGTTTTATTTAAGATGCTGTACTGTTCAATGATTTGGCTACTGTGGTGGATGTAACTAAGGGCATTTATTAAAGTATCATACATGTATCTCCATTTGATTCCACTTTATTCTTCTACTCCAGAGAGAAATATTGTATTTTTTTCTCCACTAAATTTATTTGTCAGATATAGCTGCTCTACAAATTGAAAAAAAGGGGACCTCAAACTGGGGGCCCAGGGGCCATTCATCCACTCCATCTGGCCCGCGACATGATGTCAAAAACACAATATTAATCCTGCCTGGAAGAATAATATTATTTTAAATCTTTTCTAATTGTTTTTAAATGAATTTAAACTACCCCTTCATATACAGTTTTAAATAAACAATATCAGCCGCAAAGATTACATGAAAATGTATAGAAACTGTTGTTTTTTTGCTTTTTTTGGTCAAGTATGATGTTAGAAATGAAATGTTTTCAGAATATTGCACTTTCTTGTAGTATTTTAATGTTGGCGCTTCTTTGTGATGACAAAACCAGCAGTAGCCACAAGCCAGTTTACTGTGCTTGATTATTTTGAAAACGCAAGATTATACAGAATTCTTAAAATTAGCTCCACCGTGACTACATTAATAAGGCATCAATAATAGTAATCCAATAAGGTATGTGATAAATATAACACTCTGCATATTGCCATTTTGCACACTGAATACTTTTTATACATTAAGTACATTTTGTTGCTAATACGTATGCAGTTTTAGAAGAGTACAACATTTAATTCAGGGTTTTTACTTATAATGGAGCACTTTTCCTGCTGTAGTATTGCTACTTTTACTTACGGTTAAGTATTAATAATTATATTATTACTTTCCCCAGTAACTAGTAGTGTAACTAATTACTAATAAATTAATATTACAGTTATCCCCCCAAAAAATAATTAGTTATAATATTACTTTTGATGTCACCCCCTACTACGTTGAAATCCAACAATCCAATCACATCCTTGGATTCATTTTTGTAATCGTGGAGGAAACTAGTTTGGAAGATGGAAACACTTACATTCAGCAGCTGGAAATATTCCCCATTACTCTGATTTTAACAAACAA